TGGATAACTGAAAAAAGCCCTTATGTATGTAAATAAGTGCACAGATGCTCACTTCAGAAATTTCAACTAACGTGCCTAGATCAGGAACAGAACATGAGCCTATTCAGCTTCAATGGAAGGAACCAGAGGCTGAACCTTTCAGTCCATGTAAGAAATGAGACACTGCTGTATCAGAAGCACTGTTTATTGCACAGGATTAGTTTAATTGGGACCATCAGGTTTCAATAGCAGGACAGAAATTGGGCCATCACCATCCATACTGCAGAGGTCCAGAACACTAGAAGATGAGGGTGCCACACCTCTTCACTGACATCTAGTGCTACTCTGAAACAGAATATGCCGTTTATTGTGAATAGCACATTCATATTTAAATGACAGGTTTCTGTACCATAATGTTTCTGGTGTTTATGCTGAGGCAATCAGGGTATTTAAACACAAGTTTGCCTTGCACAACAGATGTTACAGTGTGTATATTTTGTCATTTCAAACCATTAAGTTCTAAATGTCATTTTCTGAAAATCATTTTTAATGTGATCTTCAACAACATTTCTGCACAAGTAATATACAATACGGCGTGGGGTGGGGTATGGGAATACAGTCTTATGTATTGTATGTAAAATAACTCTGAAAAGATAGCTGCTGCTGCTTACAATTCTTCCTTATCCCATTGCAGAATAATTATTTATAATCTAAATGATTAATGTAAATGTAAACATAAACTCAAATGTAAATTGTTCTAAACTTGACTGTAAAAAATACGATTTTTGTAATAGAGTTGTCTACCTGATTCAGTTGTCTCGGCTACAAATTTTCACAGTTTTAGTCACAAATTGACTTCTGTGGACCTCACTTCATACTTAAGGGGTCCATAGAGGGGGCGTGCATAAGCACACTAATGTGCCTATCGTCCCTGTCATTGTATTTTTATATTATTCCTGTTTTCATTTCTTTTGACAAATCCCAATAAATAAAAATAAATAAAAGCCAATAATATCATCAATGCACTGCTGCAAACTTTGTCAACACTTATACTACCATTCTGTTGCTTTACTCATGTTCAGAGTTCATGTCCTTGATATTTTGGGAGACCACAATTATTGATGATATTGCTAAAAGCATATGGATGAAATGAATTTTTATCAAGCATGGAAAGGAAATATGTTTGTGGACGGAGCAAAAATCAACATTTGAGGGAGCCCAGAAAATGATGTTCAGTGGTTTTTTAATATAAGGTCCTATATCTATAAATACAATATATTTTGCTACAGGGTTTGACTTGATGGCAATGCATGTGAAGGATCTAACTGCCTATTGAACATGAACATCAAACTAAAAATGCCAGTGCAATTTTGATACGCATTAACTGAAACACTGCATCTGGAATATAGCAAGTGATCATTCTATTGCATTCTGCTGTAGATAGGCCATGGTTTGTGTTTTGTACCCAGTTTGGGGCATCCACACATTTAAAAAGACCTTGGAAAAGCTGGAGCAATGTCAGATGATGCAGCTCTGGAAACAAAACATACGAGAAAAGGTTAAAAGTGTTAGGTATATTTTGTTTGCATGGGAGAAACTAAGGAGGGATGTTATAGTGGTTAATAAATACTGTATATAAAGACAATCTTGTTTAAGAAATCAGGCCCTTTAAAGAGAGCTAATGTAGAGACTTTTCACTTTAGAGAGAGCCAGTTTGGCTTAGTCGTTAAGACACCAGGCTAGAAACCTAGAGATTATGAGTTCAAATTCTACCTTAGCCATGAAAGCCAGTTGGGTGCCTTTGGGCCAATCATTCTCTCTCAGCCCACAAGGTCAGGCTCGGACGAGAAGCCGGTGGGTAAATTCCTGTCACAACCAATGGGACTGAAAAAAGCAGATCCTGTACTTGAAGGAAGATTCTAGAAAGAAAGAAAAAAGGGAGTGGGGAGAACTTTGTTCTTAGTTGAAACAAAGAGCAGAGCCAGAGAAACAAGAGAATGAAATTAAATGAGTTTTAGAAGAAACGTGAGGAAACATTTCCTCTTGATAAGAGTTGTTAAGCAATAAATCATCCTACCAATGAATCATAGAAAAATGGTAGATTAATGGGGAGAAAATTATGATGGTTTTATTATTACATCATATAAATCATGCAAGTTGTGTCCAGTATAATGATGAAAAGTTATAATTGTTTTATAGGGACAGTGGCATAATAACATAGATTAACAACATTAAATTGTAGTATATCATCCACATAATCTTATTCTCTACTCTACCCTTGCCAATTTCCTTAATTTAAAAAAAAACTTAATTCCATAATCTTGTATATATAGAAATAAATTAAATACAGAAACGGGGTGTTCTTAATGTTTATTATGACACATATTTTAAGAAGAAATATTGTTTCTTGCTAAATTGCTATTGTTAATCAGTTATGAAGTAGGAATTAAATAAAATATGTTTATCCAGAATATGAAAGCTAGAGGCAGTCAAAATTTATCTATATATCAACTTTATTATTGTCACAAATAATTCAAATCCAACATACCTTATGTCTCCTATTTTCCCTACAACGACCACCCTACAACGACCACCCTGTGTGCTTAGTTGGGCTGAAAGAGAGTGACTGGCCCAAAGTCCCCTCCTTCGGGATATCTTTCATGGCATAGTAGGACTTGAACTCATGATCTGCTTTTTAGCCTGGAGCCTTAACCTCTGGAGCAAATTGATTCTTTTCCATATTCATTTTCCGTACTTAGAAACACCCAAAAAAACTCTTATCAAAAGCCTTTCTTGCATTCAGATATACTGTATTATGGTTGCTGGTTTTTATTAAACACAATTACATCAAATCTAATGCCATCTATTTCTGAATGGCCTTATATAAATCCAGCCTGAATTGAATATACAATAATTGAAAGAAAAAAATAATAATTTATTGGCAGGGATAGCATTCCTATTGATGTGTGAAATACAGGCACCCACAAATACACACTCACACACACTCACACACACACACACTCCAAAATAAAAAGTGATAAAATTGTATTCGCAGCTTAACAATAGTCAAGGAATGTTGCAAACATCCCTGTACACATTAGTAAGGTGCTATTGTTATTATTCAAAGCCAACTGTGAGGAGGCTGAAGAATAAATCACAGCTACAAAGGAGAATACTATTTCTTATATAGAACGATATATAGAACAAACTGCCTAATTAGGAATTACAAGATTGGAAGGCAAAACAGTAGCAGAACATAGAATATTTTCAGCCCTCTGAAAATATTTCATAGAACCCTAGAGAAGTGAGAGATTTTTTTTTGCTCCGGCCAGATCATCTTAGGATGTGTCAGATGTTGTTATAACAAGTATGGCAAGAAATCTGGAGAAATACTAAAGATCCCCCTGGTGAATCATAATTTTCAGTACACAAAACTCTGTCTTGCCCTTCCCTAGAATCATCACATGGAAAGAATAATACTGCTCTTAATTTTCTTTCCACTTTAGCCCTGTATTTTCTTAACTGACTTGATCAGTGGCTGAAATTTATCATCTATACCCCCACACCAAAAAAAGAAAGGAAAGGCTCGAAGAGGATGAGCCTTAGTATCTAACATATTTTACAAAAAACCTGCCAGAACTCATTCATGTATTAAGGCTTTCATAAGAAAGCAGACTGATATTCTTGTCTTGAAATTCTAGAAACTGGAGCAGTGAGACTCAGAGTTGGAAGTATATTACTCGGGCCCTTTGTAGCCTTCAATAATTCTGTTGTGGCCACATTTGTGTACTTCTTGTGATTTCTCAAATCATCAGTAGCATCTAAACTCATGCTCCCATGCTAAAAGAATGATTATAATTTTTACGTCAGTGCACATCTCTGTGAGTATGATTATAATGTCTTTCTCAGTAATTTCACAGCAGTTGTCACTTTGGGGAGAAGGAAGCAATTGAAGTTGTTGGTTTTTTTGTCAACAACAATCCTTATGTTTCCCTCTCCAATAGCAGTAATTAGATATTAGGAAAATAATGCTTCTGGGGATTAATCTTTACCTGCCTCTAGCATCCCTTGAATGTTGCAAAACATAATACTTTACAGAAATAATTCTTGACTGTGCCTACTTCTGAATTAAATGCATGCTGTAAAGCTGGGGTTAATTTATATATCCTTATTTAAAGCAGATAAATGTGTTGTATAATACATAAGCACACTATAGCTTTATCATTTTAATGATATGTGGAACAATGTATGAATGAGCTTAAATTCTTAGCTTAAAGGTAGATTCAAAGACCTGCCTGAAAAAGAGAATTCCATAGATATCATTTTTCTGTTTGCTACAGCTGCAAATCATTAGAGCCTTTTCTTGGTCAGCAAAAAGATGAAAGGATCAAGATGCATCTGCAAACAGTGCTTGTAACTAATACATTGCTGATGTCCCAGGTTCAACCAAAAAAGTTAACAAGTCAAGAAAAAAATATATTTAAAATATCCACAAATAACAAAACCAGTTACTATATAAGAGCATTTTATATGTTGGGTTACATTTGGGGAAAGCAGTCTTCCTGGGTTTAGTTTATATAATTCACTTTTCTTATTCCAGATGCATTGATTTCAAACTTAAGCTATTCACTATAGCACAAAGATAAAAGAGGTACTTATAAATATTTGGCGCTGACATTTGTGCCAAATAGTTGCATGGTATTTTCAACAGCTGTCAGAGTAAAACATCTATGTGGTAAAAATGGAGGATATGTTCTAAGTTACAAATTGTAAGCAAATGATTCTTCTACGTCACTAAACCTATTTCACTCTGTTTGGGATATTTATTTATATATAAATGTTTATGTATTTATTGCAACATTCTCTAATTTATTGCCCTCTTGAGCCATTGAATTAATAGTTGCTGCATAGATATCATTTTGGAGAAACATTTTTAATGCTATCTGATCACTTTTGTTTAATTATTACAAAATAATACAATGAACACACAGTATGATCCAATTTAATTTTTTTTTCTGTAGGGGGATAGCTCCTATGTGAAGGACCGCTGGTGTGTATTTGATGGATTCATGGTATTTTGTCTGTGGGTGTCCTTAGTTTTACAGGTAATTATATTTCATTATAATAAGGGTCTCTCTGTCCAAGTACTGAGTATTGAGTTTAATTTAAAAATCGTCTGTTTGGCTCTCCTTCTTAAGCAAACTCGAGAAGTATCTGAAACTTGTATTTGAATGCCAAAGAATTTCCCTAATAGATCTATTTTATTTTTCCTGTTATTATTAATCTTGGATGCCGCCTGACTCCCAATGTCTCTGAATGGTTCACAGCAATCCAGACAAAGAAATTATATTAAATCCAATTAAAAAGAAGAAAAGAAAAAGAAGAAAAAAGAAGTCTACTCTCCCGCACTAGGCCTTCACCACTCTTCTGGACAACAGAAAAGTGGAGGACATTCAGAGCTCAGGAGGAACCAGGGGTGGGCTGCTGTGGGTTCATACAGGTTCAGGTGATCCTCTAGCTAGGATTCTGCCCAGTTCGACGAACCCACAGATTCCACCCCGGCTAGCTCTGCCCACCCTGCCCCTCCCCTCTCAGGAGTCTCCATGTGGCCTGTTTTGGATGCCAGGTAAGTATAGGGCCTGCGGGAAGGCTTGAAAAATGGGCCTCCTGGAAGTTTCAGAAGGCCAGAAATGGGCCCATTTCTGGCCTCCAGAGCCCAGGGAGGCTGTTTTTACTTTCCCAGAGGCTCTAGGAAAGCCTCTGGAGCCCAGGGAGAGCAAAAACACCCTCCCCCTGCTATGGTGCAGGAGGTCTACTAGGCCATGCCCACCATGGCCACACCCATCCAGCAACCGGGCAGAAAACTGCTTGCTAACATTTTTGAAGCCCACCCCTGGGAGGAACCTAATTCTGGAGGAGAGAGGCTCCTACACAGAAAGCACACTTCCGGAATCCTGGTAGATGACATTGCTTACTTAAAGGAGCCCAGAGTTCATCAGTCCTGTAAGATTGAATCACCTGGGCATGAAAGACTGGTGGCCCCTAGGCGATGTAGGGTGTATAGGTCCTGATTAGGGCGAGGATTTCTGTGACCTAAAGTTTTAGAAATATGTACTTTATGACTTTAAAATTATTTCAATATGACCAATTAAGCCCAAAAAATGACTTATAAAGCAAAATATGACTTCACAATTTTTCTGAAATTAGCACTAGATTTTTGAAAATCTGTAATTACACACACACACACACACACACACACACACACAAAGGTTTATTCTTCACTTCTAGTGCTACAATTGAAGGAATCAAATGACCATTTTGAGAATAAAATGGTCATCTCTGGAATAGTTTTCATTAACAGCAGAGTTGCATTGGATAACCATGTGCATCTTGTGGTTATCAAACTCAAAATTCCTTCTGTTGTCCACCAGTATGTTCTTGTATCTAGAGAAACTCTGTTCCACATCACAGGAGATTATAGGATCAAATTTGAAAAAAGCAAAGTCATTTGGAGAAAATTCTGTCTCAAAGTATTCACCTCTTGCTTCGAGTTCATTTAGAACACTACTTATTCTGCAAAGTGTTGAATTATTGCAACCCAGATTAGATTGCAGCACCCTCTGCAGTTTATCACTAATGTTCTCTTTACTTGCTTTACATTATCCTCAACTTATTTTATAATGTTCAGTGGATCACTAAATCCATTCCTACAGTTTCAAGGTGGGTGATTGCTCTTGATAATCCACTGAAGTTAAATCCTAGATAGGTTAAGTTTTCAGCCAAGGTTTAGAAAATGAATCTTGGACAATTTTGATGGAGAAAGATTCACAACAGTCAAATTGTTTAACTATTAGATGCAAGGAGTGAAATAATACATCCAGCCAAATCCCCCAATGTATCACAACAGGTTGGGGAAGGAAAGCCAAAATAGGACCAATTTCTTTGAACTTTTGTTCAATGTGGAGCTGCAATGAATTTTTTCTCTATTATCTAAATCAGGATAGTTGTTTTGAATAGCTCCAGGGACTCTTGTAAACCATCTGCAAGGCATGTGATATGGATAATTTTTGAATAAAGAAATTTAAGTCCTTGGCTGCTTCAATCATGTATGGAGTGGCATCAGATGTTCTGACCAAGGTTTCCTGAGACACCAACAAACACACATTAAATCCAGAACCCTTTTATTTTAGTTCAACGGCTGTGAATTATTGTCATTCACAGCCCTTAATGAGTCTCAACCAGTTATAAATAGTCCCATGGAAGTCTGCCAAAGTCCTTTGGAAGAAGTCTGATAAGAACACACCTTTATCTTTCTAGAAGTGCTGCCAATGACTAAAGTACCAATTAGTCTTTCAAAACCAAACGGAGCACAAATTCACCATGGAGCTTTCAGGTTCAAACCAACCAGAGTGAACAACGTTGATTCCTGCAAAGGTTCCTGTCCCTTTGCATTTCCTTTATATCTTATGGGAGGGGCAATCACCTCCAAGCATTATTCCCAAGTCGTCCCTTTTGTTCCAGGCTCCCCTTGTTTCGCTGCCTCGCTGTTGTCAGATTCTGGAGGCTCTGAAGTCAGCACATAACACCCAGATGGCCCTGGTCCCATCTCTGCATCGAACGCAGGACCATCATCCGAATCCTCCCCAGACTCCTGGACTGGTCCATGTTCTTCCCCACTGTCTGATTCTTCTGCTGTCTCCAGACCTCAATATCAAAGTGTTGTAAAAAGAAGGATATTCCCCCTTTTTACACCAGCCGGAGTAGTTTCATAGAATTGGTTTCAAAGGGCACAGCAATAGTGGAATTGGATACTTTTTTTTTGCAGAATTTCAGGTTAGAAGAAATAGATCACCAGGCTTGGTTCATTTCAGAGTGCCAATAATAGTACTGGCTACATAACTTCTGTTTCATCTATTGAAACCCTGATCTTATTGTTGTCAACAGAAAATCTTATCTTTCATAACATATCTTCATAGCAGGCAGAGATATAATTTTCTTTAGAGTTGATTCATTTGGAATCAGATGACTGGTGTAGTTCTCCAAAAAAAAAAATATGCCTGGAGCTACCATTACCTAATTTCCTTAAGGTAATATTTGAAGTAACCATCATTGCACAGAGACCCTTACAAAATTCTGATTGTGTATTTGATGATTCATCAATGATGAACCTGCAGTTGAAGAAGCACTCTCGAAAAGGAGACGCTGCCTGTTCTAAGTGAAGGTAAATCTTGCTAAACAAGTCTTGTGTTTCCCGGTGTCCCAATGTTGTTGAATAATAAAACACTTCTGGGGCAATACCGTAATTTCACACAATTTAGGAAACAAAATATCACCATTGCTACTGAAGATCTGCTCCCCAAATTCTTAAACAAGATCATAATTTCACACTCACTGAACATCTGCTTTTAGGCATGTTGAAATCAGATTGCAGCTCAAACATGACTTCATCACCTCAAACAAACACACACTTAAGGCGAATTACCTCCTTTCTTTCACGCCTTCTCAGGGAGAAGTCTCTCCCCCTCCCCTCTGTCTCTCTCTGTCTCTGTCTCTCTGTCTCTGTCTCTCTCACACACACAGAGAGAGAGAGAGAGAGAGGGAGGGAGAGAGAGATCTCCCTGAGAACAGGCAAATTCTCACTTTCTTTGCTGACTTATCAAGAGGGTTGCTAACAATCAAAATATAACAAAAACACAGCATTTGTTACAAAATTAAGCAGAAATTTTGAGATAACGTTAAAAAGTCGAAGCATGACTTTTCAAGCGAAATAAAAAGCCCCTAATTCTCACCAGATTACTCTAAAACATGTGTTAACTTAGTTATAAATTCAAACAAAGGTTCCTGAAAAAATATGACGTTTCATAGAAATCCTCACCCTGGTCATGATCATGATCACTTTGGAAGCAAATTGGCAACTTGAGAACCGTGGCGGCACAGTGGTTAGAATACAGTACTGCATGCTAATTCTGCTGATTGCTGATTGCCAGTAGTTTGAATCTCACCAGCTCAAGGTTGACTCAGCCTTCCATCCTTCCGAGGTTGGTAAAATGAGGAGCCAGACTGTTGGGGGCAATATGCTGACTCTAAACCGTGGTATATAAGTCTAAATGCTATTGCTAGTATAGCTCCCAAAGCAGAAATGCTACATGGACATAGCAAGGCATGATCATCACTGTTGACACCACTGCGTTCTGGAACAGTTGGAGCTTCTGGGTGGTCTTTAAGGGCAGTCTCACGTAGAGTGTCTTATAGTAATTAGGCTGCGAGGTGCCCATGCCATGAGTATCTGAAAGATCATTTGATCTAGGAGAAGCACAACTGGTGTAACCTATGAAGTGGTGCAAAGCCAACTTTGCTTAATAAACCTGGGTCTTTCTGGAGCATCTCCCATCTCCTTTCATTGCGCTACTGAAACCCATTAGAGTGAAGTCAGTTGGGCAATCAAGCTACTACTAAATTGAAATGTAATGCTTTTTTAAAAACCACCTAGATCAGTGTTGACTACTAACATTTTAAGAGATGTACCAATTAGATAAATTGTATACTTTTGAATACTCTTGCTTGGACGCTATCAGAACTACACAAAACTAAAAGAGAAAAGTTCTGTTATTAGTCTGCATAAGGCTTTCAGATAAAAAATTCTTATTAGACAAAACCTTACATGGTTCAAAAAAAAAAGAGATTTATTTGTATATAAATATATACATCTAATGAAATGCTCCCACCAGAATAATTGATAACAACACCAGAGGTGTGTTATGCATTTACACGTTGCATTCCACATTTAAATGACTCGTTCTCCTTTCAGTGTTTAAAAAGAAATTGAATTTTGTGGTAGGTGTGTGCACTAGAGCTTGTTACCATTATTTGATTTGGCAGCCTACCATAGCTTGCTCTCCACATAGAACTCTTCCTCTTCAGTTTAGCCTAGAGCAATTCTATCATGGGAGCACCATATATCAGCAAAGACATCCTGTACCTTCTGTTTGACTACTCCAGTTAACCAGCATGGGGTTGTTTTAGATCAATATATTCAAGGTTCATTCCTATTGTTGAATGAGATGATTGATGTTTGAGCCTGCAGGATAATCAGTTGCAAAGGCAACTTTTTGAGAAGCATGGAAATTTTCAGTTGAACAAAACCAAAAACACTGAAAGTTAGCAATGGAAGTACGTCATTCCTGGAAATAATAGTGTTTTGCAGAAATACTAATTTAAAACTAGCAGAAGAAGACTGACCCGATTAGGAAACATCAGAGAGAAAAAGGTATTTCTTTTCTTCCTAGGTTTTTGAAATCGCTGAGATAGTGGATCAAATGTCTCCTTGGGGCATGTTAAGGATCCCACGGCCGCTTATTATGATTCGAGCATTCCGAATTTATTTCCGCTTTGAATTACCAAGAACCAGGATAACCAACATTTTAAAGTAAGTCTGTTCTTTGCCTTTGATTTTAAAGTGTAGCTTTGGTAACTTTTTAGGCACAGCTGTATAAAAAAATATATTGTGAGTGAGAGACTTGCATTCAGTTTCCTATTATCCCAGATCTCTGCTTACATTATTTATCTTTGCAATATGGGTGAATGATTGGGGAACTTCCAGACTTATGCAAGTTCTCTGTTCTCTGAGAAGGAAAACCAAGCATTTTAGAAATTTGCCAAAGGCCTGATTGGTTTCTCAACATAGTGTACATCAGGGGTATCAAACTCACGTCATGGCTTCATCACTTGACGTATCGGGATTTTTTTCCCCTTCGCTAAACCAGGTGTGGGTGTGGCCAGTGCGTTATGCATCCAGCCCATGGGCTGGGAGTTTGACAGCCCTGGTGAATAGCATCAGTTCTGTGGGTTTTCAATAAATAACCAAGTTTAGGGTTGTCATAGCTATTAATTCCTTGGACATGCTTTTGTTAATATATACATACATAAGATTGTAAAAATAAGTTAGGGAGGTACACATCTGACAAACATCATACAAATTGTTCTAAATTACAGTCCAATGTAGTTCAAATCAGTATTTAGAACAAAAGAAACACCCCATATTTTTCTCATTCTCACTGGATAAAACAGATGATTAATCTATACCTGCAAAGCCTTTTCTGATGGATCTGAAGTCTTGGAAATTTTGTCCTTTTTTCTTATTGTATATATATTTAATGCGTATCACTTTCATTCTCACTTTCTTTTCTTTAACTAGGCGTTCAGGTGAACAAATTTGGAGTGTTTCCATTTTCCTTCTGTTCTTTCTGCTTCTGTATGGAATTTTAGGGGTTCAGATGTTTGGACCTTTCACATATCATTGCGTAACAAATGATACCAAACCAGGGTAAGTCTCAATCAGGATTTTTCTGTGTGTCTCCCTTTATCTCTCTTTCTAAAGGATTATTCCCTATCTTATTTTGTATTTGATAATTGGTCTTGATGATGAGACCTTGAAATGTGAAAGTGTTTCTGTGAGATTTGATACTTTAGCAACACACATTTTTTAAGAACTTTCGATGCTATGTGATCTTCCAACAGGGAACTTGGGAACAATATGTTCTAATTTCCCATGAAACATAGTTGTCAGATTGCTCTAAGCATATAAAACAGTGCCTGACAGTGTTGCCGTTAAGTTTCCAGGGCCCTTAGGAAATGTATTCTGCATGAATAATTTTATCAAAGTCAATGTTGTAGACAGATAGAACGTGTTGTGGAATTCCTAGAAAATTTGTACAAAAATGAGAAAAGGGTCAACTAAATTATAAAGGGCTAGAAGAGAAACAAAAACAGAAACAATATTCTTCATTTTAGTTAGTTAAACCTTATATGTCAAATGCAGCTGTTTTTAATGATGTTTTAAAGTACTGCTAATAGAAGGTATTATTCTTTCTTTTTGGTATTTGTATTTAGAATAGAATAGGAATAGAATAGAATAGAATAGAATAGGAATAGAATAGGAATAGAATAGGAATAGAGTAGAATAACAGAGTTGGAAGGGACCTTAGAGGTCTTCTCATCGAACCCCCTGCTTAGGCAGGAAATCCTACACCACTTTTTAAACACTTCCAGTGTTGGCGCATTCACAACTTCTAGAGGAAAGTTGTCCCACTGATGAATTGTTCTAACTGCCAGGAAATTTCTCCTTAGTTCTATGTTGCTTCTCTCCTTGATTAGTTTCCACCCATTGCTTCTTGTCCTGCCCTCAGGTGCTTTGGAGAATAGCCTGACTCCCTCTTCTTTGTGGCATCCCCTGAGATATTGGAGCACTGCTATCATGTCCTTCTTTTCATTAGACTAGACATACCCAGTTCCTGCAACTGTTCCTCATATATTCTTCATATTTCGTTAGCATTTTACTTTACTGTTTGAAGTTTAAAAACAGCCTGAAATACCTGTTATGAAGTCTGTAATAAACATTTGATTGATTGAACTATTCTGTTGAGAAAATAGTGCATGCATTATCTGAAATGAATAAATGGGAGATGCATACAAGTAGCCCTTGACTTACAGCCATTTGTTTATTGACCATCCAAAGCTATCAGGCACTGGAAAAAAGTGACTTAACAATCAATCCTGATACTTACAATCATTATAATCACATGATCAAAATTTGTGCACTTGAAAATCTTATGTGTTTACAATGGTTGCAGCATCCCGGGGTCATCTGATTACCATTTGTGACCTTCCTAGCTGGTTTCTGACAAGCAAAATCAAATGGGAGAAGCCAGATTTGCTCAATAACAGTGTGATTCAGTTAAGAACTACAGTGCTAGCTGTGACAAAATCCAGCATGAATCAATTGACCACTGCCTTGCTTAGCAACAGAAGTTCTGACTGTAAGTTGAGGACTACTTATATGAAAGTTCACACTGCTTGATTCAGCTTCTATAGTTTTGACTCCAAGTAGGCTATTCTTACCCTTGGATTTCCCAAGCATAGCAAGATATTTGCAGTGGTGAAATGTTCAATGTTAAAACAAACATAAACAGGCTACTTTAGTTTAACTGTATGTTTAATAAGTTCGGCACAATTGAACCCATTGTTTTACAACAAAATTTTCAAAAGCAAACATACAACTGAGTGCTATATTTTCTGTGATGCTTCTCTTAATCTTACCTCGTTGTTTTTAGGCTCCTTCCTTTCCCTCGAAGAGAATTCTACATATTCATACTCATCCTCTTGCTTTATCACTTGGCTGGTTACATTTCTTCTGAGGCAGTTATTTGTCTATTTGCATTATAGTGTTGTCTCTCTGGCTCGTCTTCTCACTTTTCAATACACGACATTTTGTTGCTGTTTTGAGGGCTTCACCATGATTTATTTGTATTTGCTGCTTGCTTGTTCATATTTCTTTAATCTCTGTGGAGGAACAATGCACGTTAAGGAAGAAAGACTTTTAAAAGTAGCATTTTAATGTATTCAATAACTAATGCCACAGTGAGCTAGACTTCTGATTTTCTATATTAGTTCCTTTATCAGATCCATATTGACAGAATTTCAGCTCCAGGATTAATCTGGAAATTAATTCCAATATGCTTATTGGATCCTAGCATAACTATGACATTCACTTGATAGTAAGATAGCTTCTCCCCGCTTTCTTTTATAATATGGTATGCATTTTGCTAAAGATCTTTTCCTTTGTTTTATCTTCACAATAAATTGGAAGTGAATGGCTAGGCCAAGATTGCCCATTAATTTCATTGCAAATAAGAATTTGAATTGAGGTCTCTAGAGTCTCCATCCAATACTTTATTCCAGCTTTCCCTAATTTGGTGCCCTAAAGAAGCAGCAGAACAAGCACTTCCCAAAATTCCTACTGTTCTTTCTACCTGCTGTTTTTTCCCTTAAGTATTTAAAACCAAGCGTATATTATTTTCTACAACCCACATATTAAATAAAGAATGAGATTACAATAAATGATGGCCAAGACATTTCAATTCTATAAGGTATCTTTTTATTTTATAGTCTTCCCTCCATGGTCTTAAGTGAATCGTCCTAAATCTACTATTATTTTCTACAGGCTGAATTAATTTAGTCCAATTGCTCTTAGTTCCTCAGATGGAGAGGGAAAATAAATACGGTTACTCCAAAATAACTTATTTAAAGATAGAAGGTATCTTTTCAAGTAAATCACTTGTCCCTTTTTATCGTTTAGCTTTTGAATGTATACATAACTTATATTAATAGCTTTTTCCCCATTTTTCCTCACTCTCCTTCATTGGAGTGCCCTACAGTAGATCTTAATTTGTTGAAGAATACATCCTTTCAATCCTTTCAAGTCCTTTTCCCATTTTCTTGAGCCTTTATTCCATTTAAAGATGATGTGTGAATTTGATAAAGAGTGTTCATATTGTTCCCAGTTCCCAGAAAATCAGAAAGCCCTTCTTCAGTTGATAACTCTGTCGCTATCCATTATTCTTCAGTTACTCCCTGGCACCTAATTTTTATACAGGATTGTTATTTCTGTGCAGGCAATGAATTTGGATATTCAAGGAGGTAAAGGTGGAAGCTAACCAGATAGTCTTTCCTTCTCTTTGTACTCTGCAGAAAGAACAAGATTGCCCAGATAGCATTCAATCTGACTAACTGATTTCCTTGTCGTCCCAATAGAAACATAACCTGGAATAATTTGGCAATCCCAGACACACATTGTTCAAAAGCATCAGAAGAAGGTTACCAGTGTCCACCAGGATTTGAGTGTTTGGACCTTGAAGAATTGGGATTAAGCAGGCAGGAGCTGGGCTACAGCGGTTTTAATGAGATAGGTATGTCTATCGGATTATAATCTATTTCCAATGCCTATTTGAAAATGCTTATGAAGTTTGTAGAAGCTACTGTGAGCAGATAGGGTGTTAATATACTAGGAAGGAGCACAAATTAGGTATCCCTCCCCCTTTGGTATATTTTCCTCATAATTCAAAATGAAAATTGATTATTGAATACATAGTTAAGTCTGTGCAATTCAACTCTAATTTCCAAATTTTAGGTCATCTTAGTAGTAGAAACTTTTTGTTGATGTTACTTTCTCTCAAAGTAAAGCACTAGCAGCTATAGAATGCAGCGTTGTCCAAGAATGGAGACCATAGGTGGTTGGTTTTTAATCGTTTCCCTCCCGGCTTTATTTTCACCTTCTATGAAGGTGACAAAACCTATTCTAGGTGACTGCAATATTCTATTGCAGTTTGGAAATGTCGTGTCTAATTTAGCCCTTAAAATACATTCTAGTGACACTGTCATGAGCATTAAAGTTAATAAGTTAACATTTTCCTTAAAAACACAGCTGAAATTGATGGAAGAGAAAGTAACATACGTGAGTAGAAAATACAAGTACTGTCCCTGATGAAGTGGGATCAGATTACAGAGACAGTGACCAATATTATGTATGACCCGTGTAAATCAGAATTGATATAATCTGATTGAGATTCAGTATTTTAAAATGTCATGATTTGCTGTGAGTTTTTGATTTGAGATTTGAGGGCAAATCTACTCATTTCAGCTGTTTAAGCTTTGAGCTTGAATGTTTAAAAAATGTGTCTGTAAGTTATAATGAGGAAAATTCAAAGCTCCTAAAGGAACTTCTTATTTTGCTAGTATAGAATGAAAATTTCAGGGACTGTAAATTGACTAGAAAAAATTAATTCTGTCAGGTTTCAACTATATCCCACAATAATTTTAAGATGCTCTCCTGTAGCTTTCTGAAGGCAGAGATAGTAAAGATGAAGAAATGACTATATCATTCAGTGTCCAAATTATCTAACAAATAGCCTATGCAGATGTTAGCTGGACCAATGAATATAACTGATTCCAATTTTAAAATACAATCTTTCAAAAAAAATCTCTTTAGTTTTCCACTTGTTTTTCTGAATTACTGTGAAGAATGTTAGTTGATTTGTCCTTGTAAGGTGTTGCACATTGTTATTTCTGATTACTGATCTCTTACTTTTCTTGTATACTGGGGGTTGGCATAGCTGCTTGACAAACCTATTTGTAGGTGGCAGGTAGAACTCTCACTTTGGCTTACTGGCAAAATGTGGCCTTTTCTGGTCTAGATTTAAGAAGAAGAAGAACCATTGATTTGTTTCCGTGTGTATATGTAGTTTGTTCCTCTGATTGCTAGGACTTTGGGGGTGTCAGGAGGATTAATACAATCAGTAGACAAACATGACGGCTGCTAGAAAAGAGATCACTCATCAAGTGGCAGCAAGACTTCAATTGTGTTGGAGTTGTGGCTTATTGGCAATATTCTTAGTGAACTGGTGGAGGCAACTTAAGCAGATTAGTATCGTGAACTACAGTACCACAGAGTAGTGGTTCTCAACCTGTGGTCCACAGACCCTTGGTGGGGTTGCAAAGTCACCACAGGGGGTCCAAAAAGTCCTGAAGAAATGTTATGATTTAAGTCTTGAGAGTCGGTGACCATTTCCATGGCTACAAAAGGTATCTAAAGGGTATCTATGGTGAAAAAAAAGGTTGAGAACCACTGCCATAGAGTTAGGGTAGGTAGGCTGCGGTTAAAAAAAAATAAGAATAAGAAAGAATAAACAAAATTTTCAGTCATGCCATTACACCTCTTAAAAGCCTTCACCTCTCAAGAAAAAACTGAGCAACTGGGAGCTGAGTTCCCAGTTGCACTGATAGGCTAACTAGAAATATAGCTCTTAATTACTATATAGGACAGACAAAGTGAAAGCTTGCGGCCGCCCATGTCCAGGAAGCTGGCCCCATGGGGAAGTCATATCAGAGCCCCCACATGCAATATATGTGGAAGTGAAGGTGCAGCACGGTATGTTGTCTGCAATAGTTCCAGCGGAAAAAGCCATTTGAATGAATTTGCTGTTCCAAAGCAAGTCCCTCTTTCAGTTTCCAAATAAGCTTTACTTGGGATTATCCAATCAGAGCTTCCCTTCAAGTCTTTCACAGCAATCCTCTCAGCTTCTCTCAGCCATTTCTCTGGAAGCAGTGGGGTTCCCAGTCTTCTCCTCCTACATCCCATTCTTGCCATCTAGACCAAGGGTGTTAAACTTAAGGCCTGGGTTCTGGATCCGGCCCATGGGGTACTTAGATCTGGCCTGCAGGGCTGCCCTGGAAACAACGAAGGACCTGCCCACAGTGCCTCTACCAATGAAAACAGAGCTCAGATGGGCAGAGTTGCAGGAATCTGTCACAGCTGAAAACAGAGCTTGCGATGGCTGTGGGGGGCCCTCCCGAGCTCTGTTTTCACTGGCAGAGGGTTGCAGGAGGCTGTCGTAGCTGAAAATGGAGCTCGGGAGCCAGAGTGCTCAGGCCACACAGGCGTCCCCAACACAAGTGATGTTGAGCTGGCCACCCCCGCCCCCCTGATGTTAAACACAACCCTGATGCTGCCCTCAAGAAAATTGAGTTTGACACCCCTGATCCAGACATTGACCCTATTGTCTTCCAAACTACCTATGCAGGAGACATCTATGGAGATTCTCAGTCACTCAGGCCATTGTTGTCCCAAAGGTGCTTTTTCAAGAGACAACTGGACTTTCAGAAAGTCCCGTTGCCTCTGCAGGAGACAGAATAATGCTCACTTGCCTAGAGATGAGAAATGTATGCTCTTCTCCTCGGGCCCCATCTTGACAATTTCTCAGCTGTTCTTTCACACTGTACTGATCCTGATGTTTCCCAGGACATCTGAGCAAGAGAAAGAAAAGCGTATCTATTTGCACAAGGGGGAGAAAACATTTAAAAAAAAAAAAAACTCACATTTTGACACTTCCCCAGCAAAGAAACCCCACCAGTACTTTTTACCAACCGTTCTTTCTGGCAGAGTGGTCCCAAAAGCATCAAAGAAACCCTAATCCTAGGAGGCAGAATATACTGGTTCTTTGTATATAGCAGACAAAGAGATTAAAAACTTATCCTGAACATTGCCACCTTCCCTGTCCACTCCTTCAAAGGACAGTCACACTTCTGACTTCTGAAGCATCTGAATAAGAGTCAAAAGAATCTAGATATTTGCATCCAGGAGAAAATATAAGGTTTTTCTTCCAAAACCTCATTTTGTATACGATGTTTTAATTTTACATTTTTGTTGTGTGTTTTTTTTAAACTAAACTTTTCTGATTTAACCATTGTATATTATTTGTTACTTTTTAAAGTAGATTCTCCTTTTAGAGTTCCTGTGCTTTTTAGTTTGTTTGGCTGTACAGCTTTGCAAGGGATTGCAAAAGGCACAAAGATGCCTTAGCCATGTGCATGATACAAAAGCTGCAGAGGGCAGCCAGGCAGTGCTGGAAAAAGATTCAGCTGCTTTAAGGAGAGGAGCTATGGGAGGAGTCTTGCACACACCGAAGTACATTTAGGCCTTCCAGTCTGTAGCACTGCATCCCTCTGCTTTCTATAAGGGCAGCATCCTAAAAAAAGCAAGAACTGACAGGCTCTGACATTACAGAATATGCATACTGTACATATAGACTAGCCTTATACATAAACAGGCCTAGCCTTTGGTTCATTATAAATACCATTTTAGTCAAATACTGTGAGCCAGCTGTTTTGATTACTGTATACATTGTAAAGTTATCTACTCAGAAACACATTGTTATGTTCATTGTATTCCGACTTATTAACTGAACATCTTAATTATGTTGTTTTATGTGCAATGATAATAACATTTTCAGTGTCTGCAAAGATTTGAAATGATTAGAGAATGAGAAAGACTATGATTGTATGACTACATTTTTCAGAATTATGATTTAATTATATATAACTATGCCTATGAAAATAACCAGAATTCAGAGGATCTTTTTCAACAAAGCAGTATTTTTTTACTGTTTGAAAACCATGTTCGGGTATACAGAAGTGTACAACTAAGTGGAAGTGAATTTGCTAGTCTTTTAACTTTGATATTGTTAAAATTAATTCCTTCTCTAGGGGTTCCATAATTGCAGTGACCAAAGAACATTATTATATTCTTGCTCTACAAGTTATACTACAGAAGTTTAAAACTAAGTGGAAGTGAATCTTCTTTTTGTAAGTTTCTCTCTTTCCTCCCCCCCACCCCCCCTCAAATGATTCCTTATTTTTAACTTGTTATTAAAAATAACACAAGGAACACATATTTTCTTTACCTTAGGATTTTTTTTCCAAATTTTGTGAGTGATCCTTAGAGTGTAAGGAAAACTTAAACATACTGAGTCTAGTATTGGAAATCTTGGGGAAAATATAAAGACTGAACATTATGTGCCCGATAATCTTCTTCAGGGACCTTGTATGGCATGTCTAAGCGATAAAATTTTTAACGGTTGTGGGTTTTTTAATCATGCAATATTTGCCTGGCAAGGTAATAACTTTTACTTTTGGTATGATGAAGAGTGTCATCACCTCCTGCTTTTACTATGCAATTTCCTATTTATGACATAGAGCAATCTTGGAAGATCATTGCTTCAAGTATGGTAGTCCTAATTAAAGGAAGTTTACTTTTTTCCATTTTCACAACTTATAAGTAGCTTTTTAAAAAAAAAAGTTCACTCATTTTGATTAATCTTTTCTTTGCTGTTGAAAAATGGAGTGGTTGCTTATTAGGGACAAAAGACTTGTCCCTAATCCTTTAGCTTCTGCAGAGATTTAATGGAGAGTCAAGGTTCAGGAACACTTTTAGGCTTTATATATTTAGATACATATAAGAAAAATAAAAGAAATAAAAATAAAAAAGAAACAATAGGACAGGGACGGTAGGCACATTGGTGCGCTTCTGCACGCCCCCTACAGACCTCTTAGGAAAGGGGTGAGGTCAATAGTA